ACTGGGCAAATACTTAGAATGAGGTAGTGTGAGTTTTCAGTTCTCACCATTGAATAATAATATTATCATCCAAACTACGTAGTAATAATTAATGAAGTTCCTTATTGATGGTTTTCATCAAAATATTTTTACACACTTTCTAGCAAAATAAGAAAAACTATAATGATCTGCCTACCCAAATGATGCAATAATTTCATATAAAAGGAGTAATTATTTGTGGGCTATGGACAGCAATTTTTTTGTTTGATTTTTTTTCAAAAAAAAACAATATAAATTTGATGTGGATGAAATTGTTTACACTATGGTTTTCGAAAATTATAGTATAATTCATACTTTCATTAATGTGTTCTTAATAATTTGCGTTTCATAAACACAATAAGGTGAGCCATGTTCTCCGACTACCCCAGGCTTGTTTAAATCGTTTAAGAGGTATAAGACACATATTTTGGTATTTTCAAACTTTTTTATTCCTATCTAGGAGTATTTCTTAATCAATAATCTAATTAAACTTATAGCCCACCTCAACTAGCTTCATTGCATATCTCCAGTTAGGCTCATTGCATAGCATTTTCATCACATGCTGCAAATCTCGACCATCGACACCTTTTTGCAGCCGCCAGTCTGCCACCACCTTCACCCGTCGGTTGCGATTGCCTCTTTGCACGGCGTCGGCCTCCCCTTCGATCGATTGTTGGTCTTCCCTTCGGCGACGCGCCTCTCCTTGCTTTGATCTAATTGCAGGTTGTACCGTATAATTTACAAACTTTTACTCCTATCTAATCAGGAGTTAAAAAGTCAAACGTACCATTTACCAACGTATCGGAAATATTGATTTTTATTTTATTTTTTTGGAGTAAATTCTCAAAACGATATTTAATAACTATGTGTTATTTCAATAAGTCCTAAAAATTAACTAATTCACAAGATGGTACTCGTTAATTGAGAATAATACTCCGTTCAATCTCCCCGACTAACGGTCGTTAGAACGACGATAAACCTTACAGGGCTTATATACTATTTTTCCAAAATGATACTTTTTGTCAAGGTGTTTTCTCAAATCAATCTATTTTTGGAATAAAAATACATTAATTATGGAAAAATATTTTAAATTTTATAGGATGACAACATAATACTAAAAAAATATAAATATAATTTTATAAATTTGAGCGTAAATATTTTAAAAACTAGAAGGAACTGGAAAAAACTGGAAGGAACTAGAAGGAACTGGAAGAAACTGGAAAAAAACTGTAAGGAACTGGAAAAAACTGGAAGAAACTGGAAGGAACTAGAAAAAATTGGAAGAAACTGGAAGAAACTGGAAAAAACTGGAAGGAACTGGAAAAAACTGGAAGAAACTAGAAAAAACTGGAAAACCTAAAAAAAACTTTAAAAAAATTTATTTTAAATTCTTGTTGTTATAAATTATTATTATTATTATTATTATTATTATTATCATCATCATCATCATCATCATCATCATCATCATCATCACAATCATCATCATCATCATCACGTTATCTTAGTGATTGTCTTTAACATATAAAAAAAGTATTGTTATTTTTTAAATACAAAAAAACTACTTTTACAAAAAATAATTACAATATAAAGTTAGCATAAATATAAAAATATTAAATTTTAAAAAGACTGTGTAGTTATTTTGCACCTCAATTTATTTATGCAGTATTTATTATAAATAATATATTTGTAATTACAGAAAATTACTTGCGGGTGATGCGAGTTTTGTCGAAATAACTTTCAGATCCCTTTATTTTCAAAAAGACAACCGAGGTCCTTATATTTTGTGGTAATGATTGGGAGAGGATATTTCATCCAATACATCATCCGTAAGTGTTAATAAATGTATTTTTTTCCTATTTTTCCAATACTATTTTTTCCTATTTTGCCATTAGCTTGTTTTTTCTTTTTTTAAATTTTTTTAATTCATTTGTTTTAATATAATACAAACAATTTTGAATTTTTATATGATTTTATAGAAGAAATTCTAAAATAACACTTTAAAAAGTAGTAACAAAATGAAAGAAAAACAAAGAAATAAAAAACGAAGCGACCTAAGATTTATAACTTAAAATATTTAGAAAAGAATAGGAAAAAAATACATTTATTAACGTTTATAGATGAAATATTGATAAAATGTCCCTTCCAGTCATTACAACAAAATGTAAGGACCTCTGCTGTCTTCTTGAAAATAGAGGGACCTGAGAGTTATTTCAACAAAACTCGCGTCACCCGTGAGTAATCTGTTTGTAATTATAATTTATATATTAAAAGATTTTGTTCTAAATATCAAACATGTCACATAATCAAACATATTGTTTCTTTCATGATTGACATTTTATTTTCATTGAATTCCTATTTTTGGAATAAAGACATAAAACTTTTTTGTTTACATTTTTTATGTTTTACTCATATTTTAGTCTTTTTCTCTAAGCTCTTTTGACTTACAATTTTTTTTATAAAAATTAGAAAAATGAGCAATTTTTAAGTAATAAAGGAAAAACTGAGATGTCTTATAAAAAGTTATATTAATAAAATATTCAATGTAACTATCTTATCCATAATTTTTTAGTATAATTTAACATATTGATGTTTTCCTGTTTTATCATGTAGACTAATATACAAAAAAATGTCTTATCCATATTAAAAAGTTGAAAAAAAATAGTAAGTGTGAATCGTAAAAATAGTGAGATGAATAAAATAATTTATAAACTATAGTCATGAATATAACAGTATATAACATTTGTAATAATAATAATAATAATCACATTGAAATATACTCCCTCCGTCCCAAAAAGATTTATACGTTTCAAAAAAATTGCGTCCCACAATCCCTTACCAATTTCTATTAAAAAACCACTTTTACTCCTAACTTTTTCAAACCTTACCTATCACATCATACATTTTTCCTAATAATCTACATATCACATCATACTTTTACCCATCACATTAAGGGTATTTTTGGAAAGTCAACACAAAATTATTCCTCCCTTAATTTCTACTTTAGTCAAAACGTATCCATCTTTATGGGACGGAGGGAGTATCATTTTTAGAGTAATTGGTTGAGGAGTAGAAAGAATTTGAAGAAAATGAGAAAAGTTGGAAGAAACTGGAAGGAACTGGAAGAAACTGGAAGAAACTGGAAGAAACTAGAAAAAACTAGAAGAAACTGGAAGAACTGGAAGAAACTGGAAGGAACTGGAAGTTAAGAGTTCAAGTTCTAAAGAACCGGCCCTTAGAAGAATATCATGCAAATAAAATATTTAATAAACGTTAAAGAAATCACCATAAATATGAGTAAAAAAAATAAAGAAAGTATCAAAATAAGAGATCTTTCTCTATGTTTTACTTTTGTTTATGGTGATTTCTTTAACATTTTTTATAACATTTTATTTTTATGATATTTTTCTAAGTAATTGTAAATAATATAAAGCGTTTACTTTCAAATTTATAAAATTATATATATAGTTTTTAATATTATTTTCTCATCGTATAAAATTTAATATTTTTTTTCATAATTAATAAATTTTATGAAAAAACACACAGTTAGAGAATACTATCTTGGGAAAGTAGTATAAAATTCAGTGCCGTTTTAAAGCCGTTAGTCGGAAGGACTGAATTGAACATTATTTTTAATTAATAAATACCATCTTGAAAATGAATTAATTTCAGGGAGTAATTTGAAAAAAAACATAGTTATAGAATACGATTTTAAAAAGGGAAAAGTATCTCAAATAATTCCACCTTTTTGCACTCTTTCAAAAATAATCTCACTTTTCACTGTCACCAGAAATAATCCCACTTTTTCGCATGTGTGCAAGTTTTGGGTTGCCGTTAAAAAACTAACGTCCACTTAACGGAAGTTTTAGAAAATGCTTGTTTTCCGCAAATAAATGAAAGGTAGGATTATTTTAGGAAAATTTACTTTTTACTTTTTTAAATTTAAATTTAAAATTAATATTTTTAAACAATACACTCTTATTAGAGATTTGTCTAACGATTAACAAATTTTGTTTTCTGTTTTGGGAAAATATAATATTGAATTATAAAAAATAATTCAGAGTATCAATCAAGAAAAAAATTACAATACAAAAAAAATTGTAATGATTTATAAAATTTATGGGTGCCGTTTCGGAGAAAAAAATATTGTGTCATTTTCACAACTTTTGAATTACTATTTTGGAGGAAAATTTGTATTGAATTATAAAAAAATCACAAATTGGGCAGTTCCATTTTTGAAAGAAAATGTTATTGGCAATATAAGATTATCAATAAATATTTCGGAGTGTTCATGAAAAAATAGCAATACATCAGAAAATGTAGTGAGTTATAAAAATAAAAGTTCTATTTTAGAGAAAAAATTGTTTTGTTATTTTCACAACTATTGTAATGTTTTTTCACAAAAAATATTTATATAGAACTATCGAAAAATATTCATAAGTTTTGTAGTGCCATTTTTTTAAGAAATAATAATAATATAGTATCAAAAAAATAATTTGAAGTGCAGCTCAAGAAAAATTAGTAAATGCAACTTACAAAAAAATGTAGTTAGTTATGAAAAAAAATTAGCTCTATCGTGTAGAATAATTTATTTTCTAATTATTACCAGGTTATTGAAAAAAACAATTAGTTTCACTCTAAAAATACTTAAATTTGGTATTTTTCCAAAAAATAAAATAAAACTACATTTAAATTTAACGTTAGAAATTAAAAAACAAAAAAGGGAGAATTTACCTAAAATAATCTCACCTTTCATTTATTTGTGAAAAACGGGCATTTTTCAAAATATCTGTTAAGTGATCGTTAGTTTTTTAACAGTGATCCAAAACTCGCATGCGGAAAGGTAGGATTATTTCTGGTGAGAGTGAAATGTGAGATTATTTTTGAAAGAGCACGAAAAGGTGGAATTATTTGAAACATTTTTTTCTTTTAAAAATGTATTATAGTTTTTTAATGTCTCACACGCATGCAAATGCAATAGTGCCACTGCCTCTCCCTTTTCCTTCCATGTCTGTCCCTCAAGAGCTAAATTGTCTTACCAGAATTTAACCTCCATTTTTCCTCCTGACACCCCCACCCCTTTTTTTTCTTTCTCCTGAGATGCTGACCTCAACAACCCATTCCTCTTTGCCGCAGGGATTCGAGTATAATCACCATCTTTCTTGTTTCCCTCATCTGATATGTATTTACTCCGTATTATTTATTTAGTATTTTTTAATTTTGTATTCTAAAATTATTTGAAGGGATTTATGTGTCTTCTTGAATAGAATTTGGGTTTTTTCTCCTTTCATTTTCTTAACCTAACGCGAGCTGTTCTGATTTTCTTTGAAACAGTATGATTCTATAGTCTAAAGGGTCAAATGGAGGAATATATTTTCATGGTTGAATGGTGCCTCATTTTCTGGTCAAATTCATTATTCACAGGAGGTAATTAATGAATGTTCATACATCTGCATTCCCTGGAAACCCCGTGTTTGATTCGTCTCAAAACTGGGTAATCCCGCGCTTAAATTCTCCTTTGCAGAACATTTGGGTTGCCCTTCTCTTGTGTTGTTAATGGAAAGTATATAAGGACTTAGGGAAGAAAGGGAGGTTCTTGAGTTATATGTATGCATCTATTGCCTACAAAACCTCCGATTTCTCGAGTTGATTTTGTGGGCAATTGGATAATAAATTGGGATGCCAATTGCAAAAGCAGGGAGGAAACTTGGAAATTTTTTTGTTGCACCAGTCATTGATCTTCAGCTTCGTTTGGAAAGAAAATGAGTGGCGAACGGTGTATAGAGACAAATGAAACAAGGTATAGGGATGAACATATACATAGTGTTTCTGTAGAAACCGGTGAAGTGTTTTCTGCAGAGTTTACGCCGCGAAAATTACCCACCATTGACACTGCAAAAAAGAAATGCGACAGTTTTACCGCTGCTCAAAAGGGTCTTGTATATGAGGAGCTCAATGGTTTACTTGGATTACAAAGAAGAGGTTTCGAGAGTGTAGCGGGGTTCTTGGATACTTCTCCTAACAAGAGAAGTGAAATAGAAGGAAATTGCAGAGCTTATTCGAAAGGTAATGAAGCTTCACCGGTATCATCTCCTCATGTGTTAAATTCCCCACATTCATGCTACCATGGTCTAGATGTTCAATGCAAACCGTTGTCGAGGAAAATGAAATTTCTATGCAGCTTTGGAGGAAGAATTATTCCTAGGACAAATGATGGTAGGCTTAGGTATGTGGGGGGAGAGACTAGGATCATATCGATTAGGAAGAACTTGACATATAATGAACTGGTGAAAAAGACTAGGGCTATTTGCAATCATCCACACACAATAAAGTACCTGCTTACTGGTGAGGATCTTGATGCCCTTATATCCGTGACGTCCGATGAGGATCTCCATAACATGATAGAGGAATTTCACAATCCGGGTAAGTTCTCACAGTGGCTGCGGCTGTTTCTTGTGCATTCCTCAGATGCTGAAACTCTTTGTTCGTACGAATCAATGACCGCACAGCCAAGCCAGCTTGGGAGTAGTTTGGACCATAGTCCAAGATGTCAAAGAGATTCACCTGCTTCATTTCATCCATTACTCAACATATTGGCCCCTCCAAATCCTACTGCCCATTGGTTTAATTCATATCAGACAACTTCCAAATCATATGTTCAATCTCCTCCCTTGTCTCCACTGAAAGGTTATACCAATGTTCATTGTGGTGATGGAAATGAATTATGTAGTCCGTATGGTAAATCCTACAATATTGGCACCCCATGCTGTTGTTATAGTCGACCTAGTGAATTCTTCCCTCAAAATTGCATACTTCAACAATGTTTGTCCTCTCAAAGTTCTTTTCAAGATTGTCAAGCTAAATCTGGTCTTGGGATGTATCATGCTATTTCTGATCCGCAATTGCAATGTGAAGAGAGATATAAGGTCACTAGAGAAGGAACAAATACCGTCCGTTCAAACTTTAATGTGCATAAATCCCCTTCGCTCGAATTGTTTAGTTCTTCCAAAGAGTTTTCAATGCAAGGAGTGAGAGATCAGAAACAGTTGAAGTGTATAAACTGTATAAACCCGAAGAATCTTTATCCGGCTCAAGAAGAACCTTGTCTTGGAATCGAGGGAATTTGTACAACGAAAGGTTTTGGTGGTGGAAACTCTTGTATATCCCTTGTCTCTCCTAGTAATAATCATTCAACAACCATTTGTAAAGAGCACTGTACTGATTCTAATGCTTGTTGGGAAGATGCAACTTCAAAGCGCCAAGTCAGCAAAAACACAAACTTCGCTACACAATCTATTATGCTTGAACACTCCACAAACAGCTTCAGTGAGCAAAGCCATGACCTTAACTCTAATGCTCGATTTTTTTCCGTTGGACCCATGAAAGAGAATCATGTTGTATCTGGAACAACAACCAGTGAGGATGGTTTCTGTTTATCACATGAACTGCAACCTTCTACCTCTCATGGCAGGGGCAGTATAGGAAATATTGCGACATCGATCTCCAGAGATAGAGCTAGCTTGAATTTATTAGATCCCCGTGCTAGTGACATATCATTACACAATTCAGCTTCGGGTGCTCCTTTTAGACAAGATATTGCTGTCTGTTTGGACATGTCCAATGGTAAACAGAAGGAGCAAAGCTCTGATGGAATTTCCAACCCAGAACATGTTTCTGGGAATGACACATTTTTTGAGTTTCAACTCTCAGATAATACGAATTGCTCTAGGGTCCCAAAAATGAGCACTATTGTGCAAGATGCTACTGATAACGTGTCCCCTGATGGACACCCTTCTTCACATGTGGTCCCTCATGAGCAATATGAACCCAACAATGAACTTCAACCCCTTGGAGAAATCAGAGAGGCTGATAGTGTTTGTCAAGAACCTGAGTATAAGGTTATCCCGCTTCTACTATATCTCGAGTCATTATACTGCAAACAAAAATTTTCGTACAATGATCCTGACAATAGACTTTCATGTAAAATTGCCAATTCTGTTTATATGTTAGAAGGATAAAGTTGTTGGCGATCGAGAGGGTTTATCTATCAATGATGCTACGGGCGTTGAAACAGAGGCAGGGTTTTATGGCTTTCAGGTCAGAAGTCACTCTTTGTTTCTCTTTATATCTTTAAATAGATATTACAGTTTCTAATTTATTTTTCATGGTTTGTAGTTTTTATACGTGTTTAGGCCATGGACTTATGCATATGTAGTATTTGCATGGTTCCTAGTTTCAATGTCCTTTTCTCCTTTACAATTTGGTACAAGACATACGGGTTTTATGATTATATAACGCTCTCAACTCTAAACTGAATGTTTTCAGTTACTTTGGGCAGATTATAAGAAATAGTGATCTTGAAGAGCTACGGGAGTTGGGTTCTGGTACATTTGGCACCGTACATCACGGGAAGTGGAGGGGGACAGATGTTGCTATCAAGATGATAAAAAAGAGTTGTTTCACTGGCAGATTATCTGAGCAAGAACGGCTGGTAGGTCCCCAACTCAGATCGATCAATTTTAATAGGTTCATAAGCTCATCATTTAGATAATGTGGCTACTTGCTACGACTAAATTTCCCTTCTGAGCCGAATGGGCGTGGAAGAAAATGATTGTATTTTAATGTTGCCTCTGTGAAATTTGTAAATGCCGTAATTTGCAGACCAAAGATTTCTGGAGGGAGGCTCAGATTCTTTCCCAACTTCACCACCCAAATGTAGTAGCATTCTACGGCGTGGTCCCTGATGGTCCTGGAGGAACAATGGCTACAGTTACTGAATACATGGCTAATGGATCACTGAGGCATGTACTTCTAAGGAAGGACAGGTGAGATTTGTGGTTACTTTGCCAAAACAAACAAAAAAAACATAGACATCCACTTGTCGCAATCTTTTTGCAAAGGAATAATGAAATGAAATTCCAAAACCCGTTTCGTCAATAGGTTTCTCCACTTGCAAGGAGAATATCATGAGCCAAATATTTGTTGACATATTTACAAATGAAAAAGAGAACTATCTTTGTTTAGCTGCTTGCCATTCTCATGTGACAGAACTTTTGGAAACATTTTGCGTCTTTGGGAATATATGTGTCTCTCTTCTTTCTGCAGAACTCTTGACAGACTAAAAAAGCTCATGATTGCATTAGACGCTGCATTTGGTATGGAGTACTTGCATATGAAAAACATTGTTCATTTTGACTTGAAGTGCGAGAACTTACTCGTCAATTTGGGAGATCCTCAGCGGCCTGTGTGCAAGGTAAATTTGCTCGCAGAGTTTCTTTTCAACCATACATACCTTTCCGTTGTTTTGTGTCCAAGAGAGGCTAATCTGTTGCATTGTAGAGGAAGTCTTTTAGAAGGTTTTAAATTCCTCTTGTGAGATTGATTGATGTTTTTTTCCCATCAAAACATAGTCACCTAAGGATTAATAATGTTTCAGGTTGGTGATTTTGGACTGTCAAGAATAAAACGGAAAACCCTTGTTTCGGGTGGTGTTCGAGGAACCCTTCCATGGATGGCACCTGAGCTCTTAAATGGGAACAACAGTCGAGTTTCCGAAAAAGTGATGCACCCAATGAGTTTTTTTTTTCTTTTTTCAAATAGCTATGGATGTCAAGTCATATTTCACTCTAAAGCGAACCAATTAACGTTGTTCATTTTCGTCACAGGTTGATGTTTTCTCATTTGGTATTACAATGTGGGAAATCTTGACAGGAGAAGAGCCTTTCGCTAGCATGCACTGTGGCGAAATCATAGGTGTGCTTTTGATGGAAACACAAAATCTTGGTCTCTTTTGTCCTTATTAGAATTAATTGAACTAAATTAGTACTATGGTTTTGTTCTATACATTTCTTTTCTGGGTTTTTTTTGTTCTATTGCAAGTTTGCAACCGACTATTTTTTTTAGATTAATTATTAACGGTTGTTATTCGGTTCTGCTTCTGTGAAAGGTGGCATTGTAAATAACAATCTCAGGCCTCCCATCCCTCAACGGTGCGATTCTGAGTGGCGAAAGTTGATGGAAGATTGTTGGGCATCTGATCCTGGGGCAAGACCGTCATTTACTGAGATAACAAACCGATTGCGTGCCATGTCTTCAGCTTTCCAACCGAAAACGAGAGTGAGGAGATGAGGCAGTGTACATAGTCTACATACTACAAACGTTAAATGTAAGTCTTATGAACATACTTGAAAACTTCTATACAACACTCTCACCTACATCCATAAATGCAAATATTATAGGCAAGTATTTAAACTATGTACATTGAATTATATGAATGAGATGCCACATCCTTTTTTGTCTAAATATGACATTTTTTGTGCACTCTTAACGAAATCTTAGGTTATGAGAGCGATTTAGTAAATGAACGTTATTAAATAAATATGTAGTCGTATTTAATTAATCGATTAAGTCTTATTTTTATAATTAAATTTACTACGTAGGGAGTATTAGATAGGAAAAAAAACCTATCTGTTGGTAAACAAATTTCACTATGATTAGTACATATTTTAAGCACTTGTTTCATACACAATAAAATGCACATAAGACTTGGTTTTTTTCATCATGTAGTTACATGAATCCCTTTTTATGGATTACAAATTTTTGTGACTGAGATGGTGACATTGAAATAACGTATATTTCCTTTAGACATAGAATCCACAATGTTTTTTTGGTACTTATCGAAGACATTCTCAATAATATCCTCGCCAAAATGAGTACGCAGCAATGGCTCTGACACCGCTCTCATACACTTGGCAACATTGTATCCTTCTCTTTCGCATCCATTTTCGTCCGCAAATTGAGAAGGATCCCAATGAACATCTGTAACTTCCAAAGAGTTTATAGAGAAGGACTCCTCTTTTTCAACTATGTACTTCACTTCCGTTGGAGATGGTGTATAATGAGGAATGCTGAATGAAAACAATTTTTCTTCTTCTATTAATCCCTGCAATAATTTGTTGTCACTAATTTATCGAAAGTAAATCCAAACGATGTCGTTTAGATTAGTTTATTTCCTTCTTCTATTAAATACAGTACTCCGTATATTACTTTGTCGTTTATACGTTAGACCGCCTAAACGATGTCGTTTAGATTAGTTCTAGGAAAAAATGGGTTAATCCCGAAACGCAAACGGCGACCTCTTCTCTCCGGTCTTCTGTCTTCACCCTTTGCCTTTCCGCTATTCAATGCAACCGCCGGAGTGCCAGACGCCAGGTCGCCAGCGCCCAGCCGGAGCAGAGCCGCAGCGGCGTCCCCTGACCGGCCTGACTCCGTCGCCCGGCCGGCTTCAGCCACTCCTCCGCACTCTTAGGCCTCAAGTCCTCAGCAGGTTCTAATTCTGGTTTTAATTTAGTAATTTGTCATTTGGGTTTTGGTTGAGAGATTACTGCTCCGTATTTATTACTTCCCCAATTTTAGTGTTTCGTGCTCAATTAAAACGTGGGTTGCTAAAATAGAAAAATTGGATAAAAAAGTTGAATATTTAATTCCTAAGAATGTTATCATTTTATTCTTTCATTATGATTTAGCATGATTAATGAGTCATTTTTTAAAATTATATTAGACAACCAAATTGTTAGTCCGTATATGAAAAAGAAATTAAATTTTCTATAATAATAAAATCCACAAGAATAAATAAACGTATAACAATTTGGATTGTAACTCAAGCCGAATTGTTTCGAATAACTAAAAGAATTCAAGCTGAATTATTTAAAGTATAATTAGTAAGTATGTCATTTTATTGTTATAATTTGATGTATTTTAATATTTATTATAGGTAACATTCAATAATTTTTTGTTTGAATTCATAGTGTTTATTTACAACCCGAGGGGGGGGGGTACCTCCTGTCTCTACCACTGAGTGTTACATTTGTTTTACAGTTAATAGAATCAATCGTTGATTCGGCTTTTTAGAATGTAATTTTCAAAAGTAATAAACTGCTTGATTCATTCTCTAAAATGAGCGAGTTCTTAAAGAATTAATTTTGAAACCAGAATTGCCCAAAAGAAGAAATGAGATGTTATCTGAGTTAAAGGAGACCAAAATACCTGGTCAACTAGGTCGCCGAGGGCCATGGCTAGGAGTTCAAAGCTATGGCTAGCTTCCATACTGCACGGGTCTTCACTTTTCCGGCCTAAAATCGTTAAAACCATACCCCCACCACTCACTAACTCCTTGGCCCTACACTTCAAAAATGTCCCAAAATCTCTTTCAAATTGTTCATAGTATGCTTTAACCACACAAAGTGGACTGCTTGCTGCCAAGTAAATGTTCCTTCTATTCTCTTCTGCTCCTTTCGGTACCTATTAGTATTTGCAACGTGGTATCAAGAGAGGATCCAAATATGAGCTATTAGCTCTTTAATAAGAACAAATGGTTAAACGTAAACCAATTAAACAAATTATTAGTTTATTAAGAATTTCTTAATATACTACTAAATCAGTCACATAAAAAGGTTGTATATTTATTTTTTTGTTTGTCCAAAAAAAAGGTTTCACTTTTCACATTTAGAAAAAAATTGTGGTCCTCATTTGTTTTCTCTTCTTTGCACCACTTTCAACTACATAATTTCACTTCTCTTAATCTTTTTGCCAAGTCAAAGGTAAAACCTTTTATTGGGACTAAGGGAGTATGAATTACTTTTAAAATATGAGTTTATTAAAAATTTGAGTTTTAATTGCCCCAAATATGATTTATTACCTGTATACACGAGAGCATTTGGTAAACAAATTATTAAGAATCATAAAAAATCATTCATAGAGTATATCACTCGATTTGTTTTTAGCTAACGGTCTATTACGACTTTCTAAATATATTAAAAATTGAAATAATATACTACACTTATTTGATATTTAATATATCTAGATAGTCATAATAGACACTTATTTTAAAACATGGTTGTAATCATTAATGAAATTCTACTAATTTCAAGAGGTTAAATTTTATGGAGTAGATTTTAAAATTAGTCATTTGAAATAAGGTGTTTTCCATATCGAATATTCAATTCAATGATATTATGTTTCTTGTCCTTTTTATTTGAGAACTATTTCCTGATCAGTCCATAGTGGACTATATGTATAAAACTAGATTTGGGTCTAAATCACCGATCCCTCATGGAGTAGTTCTCAAATATAGAGAACCACGAATATTATATCTTAAAATTAAAGATTATATAGGAAAAACCCCATTTCAAAAAGATTGTTTATAGAATTTACTCAATGTCAGTTTACCATCATTCTTCAAATATGGACTCCCTCCATCCCAAAATAATCGTTTCAATTATTATTTTGGCATCACAATAAATTCGTTTGTTAGTGTGTTTTCATTGATTATTTGATAAAATAAAACATTTTTGTCACATTCTGTTATATAGAACGTTTGGTATTGTTTTGAAATATTTAATTTGCACTTTTTATTTTTAAACCAATTTGTAAATAAAATAAGTTAAAGAGTGAGATTTTACATGTTGTTCAAAGTTAGACGATTACTTTGGAACAGTGAGAGTAATATTTGTTGGAATAGCTTGTACCCTAGACCTGGCAATTAGATCGACCAGATCAATTCTAGTACAAATTTATTCGGTTCAGGTATCTATCACATATTTCTTAAAATTGGTCCAGCTTGATTTAGTTTAATTTTTGTTCGGATTTAATTTCGTTTAATTTTGGTTCAGATTCTATTTGATTTCGTACAATTTTGGATTTTGTTTTGGTTTTGGATCGGTTCAAATTCAAAATGGATGTCAATTGGTTCAAATAGATCTTGGTTTCGAATATGTTTTGGTTCAAATATATTTTGGTTTTGGATACGTTTCGATTCAAATATATATTATATTTATATAAAAATTTTAAATTCTGTGATTTTTGTCATATCACATTTATCAATCTATCACCAGTTCATCATCTCACATTATTTTACCTTTTTCCCTAACTTTTTTTTCAATTCTTTCTTTCTTTTTTCACTTTCCCCACCTTTTTAGTTTTTACGCCCAATATTTTATAGTTTTAAACTTTTTACTCCCTATTTCTTTTTTCAATTTTCTCCTTTTCTAGATTTTGTCCCGCTCAATCTCAATTATCTCCCACAATGAAGGTCAAAGTTTGTAGCAGTTTGATAAAAAAAAGATCTAATTGTAAAAAAATTGGATGAAGGGAGTATCTAAATATATAACAAACTTGCACAAGTGGAAAAGTAAAATAAAAAATTGAAATTACTTGGATGTAGTTGTGGACTTATGCACATAATTATAGTACTTTATTAAAAGGCATCATTAAGTCCTGGTTTTATCGGTTTTGGATATTCTTAGTTTAGATAATTGGTTTCAAATCTAAATCGGGTAAGGATATATTTAGTTCAGTTCTAGTTTGGTGTAGATTATATATTCGGTTTTAGATCAAATCTTCACTTTTCGGATCATTTCGCTTTGTGATCATTCAGTTCAAAAATTGGGTCTGGTTTTGTTTTATCAGGTCTAGTGTATCCTTCCCCTAATTTCGCATTAGTATGATATTGTCTGCTCTGGACCCAGCTCTCACGGATTTGTTTTTGGGCTCCTCTCAAAAGGCCACATATTAATGGGTTCTGTTGAACTTATTGATTTAGGGTACCTTTCTCTATTCTCTTCGGTGTGGGACTTGGATTTGCACCCAACAAGCCTCCTCCCAAATCAGGACCACATAACCCTGTGACCTCCCCTCCAACAATAATTTGTTTTTGATATACCACCATTTTGCACTGCCGCTACACCCCTGCACGACACCTTGCCGAACACAAGGCATCAACCGCAGATCTCCACTCCGCTAGACCGTAGGTCTCTTCCGGTCCTGTTGGCACACCGTTGATTCCGCACAACACTAGGAACTCCTCCGATCCTAATCTAGTTGGTCGTTGTCAACTCTTAGAATTCCGAACGTCGGAATCCGTCCTCTTGCCCACACCGAACCTACTCCGATACCACATATTGAATTGGGACAACGCGTACCCTCATCCCAATCCCGTATTAGTATGATATTATCCGCTACTTGTCAAGTAGTCACATATTTGTTTTTTAGCTCCCCTCAAAAGGCCCAACCTCATACTAATGGGTTGGGTGGAATCAACTTATTTAGGTTACACTTCTCTATTTTCTCTGGTGTGGGACTTGGATTTGCACCTAACAGTATTTTGGAAAACATATTAAATTACTCCGTATTATTTAAGAGGAAACGTACCTGAGATAGCCACATGAGACTATAAGAGGAATGGACAAAATGGAGAGAACTAGTAGGAAACAGCCTCCCATAAAACGATCCAGGAACTCCATTAAAGAAATATGACCCAGACCCTTCTCCCATCTCCTTCTTGAATTCTTCCAAGTTATGAGACAATGATCTAAAGATGGCATTGAAGTCATTGCCAGGCAAGTCATTTAAGTATATTTGAATTTCTGGTGATTGAAGCGCCAACTTCTTTTGGGCAGAGTGTATGGCTTTAATGAGCTCAAAGATGGCCAAGAAAGTGTTTGGTCCTGATGAACAACCCATGTCTGCAATGGAGATGGTGCTTGGAGTGAGGTTGGTGTACATATTAGTTATGGCCTCTTTTGATACTGGCATTGTCAAAAGCAACACCTTTTTCTGTTTATCCAGTCATAAAAATAAATAAATAAATTAATCATCCATAACTTGCATAGGGAAATTTAAGAGTAAACTTTGTGTAGTGCACAAAGTTCTATTTATTTAATTTCATAGATTCAATAACAATAATAATAACAATAATGATTTCATATGTGATTTGTGAACATATTAATTATTGGATTTGAACTGACTGAATCTAATAAACTGAATAGTGATCCCACTCATCAATATTTTTGGGTCTACCACTAGGAAGTAGGAAGGAGTATACTGTAGACCTGAAGTATAGAGTTTTTGGCATAACTTGAGTCTCCAATGCCTTCATTCATATGGAGCACCTCACAAACTCTCATCTTTCCTCACTTTTAATTTGTGTGAAAATTATCCATGCAGACTTGATTGTTCTTGGCTTCATTTAGGTCTCCTACGTACATACAGAGTACGTTTTATACTTTGTGGCTAAAAAAAAGAAAAAGAAAAGACAAAAATAGACAGAAAAGCTAGTGATGATGTATATAATACGGAGCATAAATGAGGTGGAACTGAGTGGATAACCAGTTGCCACTTGCTTTATTTTTCCTTTTTTAGTTAATATACACCTCATGTGGTCGGGAGAACACATTTAACTTGCCATTTGTAGAGTTGTAAAGAAAATTTCTTCTTTGAATAGCCGGATAAAATTCGAGTTGAGGGGCCATTATAGGTTTATTTATTTATTCCCTCCGTCTTGATTAGAACTAAAGGGAGGGGTGTTCACCGTTCCAAGACCCGAACGAATCGGACCTAAGATCTAAAGCCAAATATTTATGGATCAAAGCGAGACTTGTGTAATTTTGGTGCAGACCGGAGCGGACCTATTAATTTTAGTTCTGGACCGAACCGGACATAAAGACATATTTCTATAGAAAATTTATGTGAGTACATTATTTTTAATGTTATAAAGCACCTAACGTTTAGAATCTGTCAATGTGAACAATAACCTTAAAAAGACAAAATCAAGTAATATTTAGAGATTATACCCTTATTTAAGATATTTTAAGCAAGTTTTATCTATATATGATTATTTTTATAGATATTTTGTCAAATTTTTGATAGATATTTTGTCAAATTTTTGATGGATTGCATATTTGTATCATTAAAATATACTTCCTAATATTATAGAGTTAATATTAAATTTCGGTCCACTTGGTTTTGGTCTTGGATAAGATTGGACCTAAGAACGAAATCTCAAAATATGTAGACCAAAGACCGGACCTAAATTGATTCGGTCAAGAACACAACAACCCGGATGAGGATGGTTTCTGTTTATCACATGAACGGCAACCTTCTATCTCTCATGGCAGGGGCACTATAGGAAATACTATTGTCCAAAAAAAGTATAGGAAATATTTCAAAATTGATCTCCAGAGATAGAGCTAGCTTAAATTTACTAGATCCCCGTGTTGGGGAGATAGCATTACAAAATTCAGCTTCAGGTGTTCCTTTTGGACAATATATTGCTGTCTGTTTGCATGTGTCTAATGGTATACAGAAAGAGCAATGCTCTGATGGAATTTCTAACCCAAAACATGAAATTTCCACAAATCATATGATTGTGGAAGAAGTTAATTGTAGTCTAATGTTGCCTCTGGTGAATTTTGTAAGTTTCATACCTATTTGTTGATACTATATAGTGCAAATTTCACTATTATTAATAGAATAATGTAAAAGAGAGTTCGAAAACATTGCATAGAATCAAACTCCTATTTATGTAGCACATATGAAAACATGCTTTGAGCACTAGTTTCATACAAACTAAAATATACACAAGACATGGTTTTTTGGTCATGTAGATTACATGAATCTCTTCTTATGGATTACAATTTTTTTTTGTGACAGAGATGGTTACATTGAAATAACGTATATATCCTTTAGACATAGAATCCACAATGTTTTTGTGGTACTTATCAAAGACTTTCTCAATAATATCCTCTCCAAAATGAGTACGTAGCAATGGCTCTGACACCGCTCTCATACACTTGGCAACATTGTATCCTTCTTCTTTGCATCCATTTTCTTCCACAAATTGAGAAGGATCCCAATGAACATTTGTAACTTCCAAAGAGTTTATAGAGAAGGACCCCTCTTTTTTAACTATGTACTTCACTTCAGTTGGAGATGGCATGTAATTAGGAATGCTGAATGAGAATAATTTTTCTTCTTCTATAAATCCCTAAAATCATATGTAGTCACCAATTAATTACCAAAAAAAATCCAAACACTCATTTTATCCAAGATTAATTGTTCACTTTCTAACAAATCTAATTTTAAAGAAATGATTCTAAAAATGTCAAATTAGTTTGTCACTTATTCATGTCAATAATGCTCATATACAATCTCTTACTTTAGACAAATCATCATAATTTTGTTAGCGGGTATGGAAAGGGAATAACTAATTCTGATCAAACGAAAATTAGTAAGTGAACAACTAACTAAAATGATAGATACTGTGTTCGATCCCTGGTGGGGGTAATAACTCTACAGGCTTCAATAGGTTGCGAATGTATGAACAGATACTACCTTGTAATAGAGTTATTAGTGTTAAAAAAATGACAAGAGTATATGTGTATAGTGATGATTATTTTGACTAATTATTTGAAATATGTCTTGTTCCATTAGCCAACTTTCTTTTGGAGAGAGATTAAGGTTATCTAATTATCATTGCAATGTAGGCTAATAAAACTACCTGGTCAACTAGGTCACCGAGGGCCATGGCTAGGAGTTCAAACACATGACAAGCTTCCATACTGCATGGGTCTTCACTTTTCCTGCCTAAAATCGTTAAAACCATACTCCCACCACTCACTAACTCCTTGGCCCTACACTTTAAAAATGTCTCAAAATCTCTTTCAAATTGTTCATAGTATGCTTTAACCACACAAAGTGGACTGCTTGCGGCCAAGTAAATGTTCCTTTTATTTTCTTCTGCTCCTTTTGGTACCTATTAGTATTAGCAACGTGGTATATATCAAGATAGGATCCAAATATGAGTTGTTAGCTCTTTAATTACTAAGAACATATTGTTTTTCTTTTTTTTTTTAGTGGAAGAACATAATGTTAAAAGGAAAGAAATTAAACAAAGTATGATATATAATCTCTAAATTACTTTTAAAATGCAAGTTTATTAAGAAATATGAGTAGGAGTTTTAATTACCAAGATATGCGTTATTAGCTCTATATTAGGTAAATAAATTGTTAAGAATCATAGGAAATCATTCAAAGAGTACATCACTTGATCTGTTTTTAGTTAATTGTTCATTATGACTTTCTACACATGTTAAAAGGTGAATGAATATTGACAAATACTATGTACACATTCATTTCATTCGTAAAATATTTAGAAAATCATAATGAACATATATTTAAGGCCGATGAAGTAGTACTGTTATAATTTATGAAATTCTACTAATTTCATGAAGTTCTTCTGTTCGTGGTCCTCTATACTTGAGAATTATTCGATATGTGGATCATATGTAGAAAACAGTACTTGGTTTCAAATGACTGATCATGAAATTTTTCTCAAGTTAGAAAACCACAAAAGTTTTTTTGAAAACAGAAAACCACAAACATAATATCTCATAATCGAAGATTATATTTGAAAACCCATGTTATAAAGGATTATCTATAGAATGTACACCATGTTATTTTACTGTCATTTTTCAAGTATGTTGTATTTTGCAAAGATCTCATAGCAGATATGATGCATGATAGGGTGCAATGGTGTTGTTTAATATGTGTAGCCGACCCCACCTAGTGGGATAAGGCTTTATTGTTGTTTGTTGTTGTATTTTGGAGAGCACATGAAAAGATTATAGGAACGATTAAAAAAATGATTATATAAGAGGGATAGTACCTGAGATAGCCACATGAGACTATAAGAGGAATGAACGAAATGAAGAGAATTAGTAGGAAACAACCTCCCATAAAACGATCCAGGAACTCCATTAAAGAAATATGACCCAGACCCTTCTCCCATCTCCTTCTTGAATTCTTCTAACTTATGAGGCAATGATCTAAATATGGCGTTGAAGTCATTGCCAGGCAAGTCATTTAAGTATATTTGAATTTCTGGTGATTGAAGCACCAACTTCTTTTGGGCAGAGTGTATGGCTTTAATGAGCTCAAAGATGGCCAAGAAAGTGTTTGGTCCTGATGAACAACCCATGTCTGCAATGGAGATGGTGCTTGGATTGAGGTTGGTGTACATACTAGTTATGGCCTTTTTTGCTATTGGCATTGTCAAAAGCAACACTTTTTTCTGTTCATCCAGTAAAAAATCTGATTATTGTTTAGATTGTTTAGATTTAATTTTATTGAATGCCTACACTAGGTTTAGATTTATATCACATAGTGTGGGTATTCTTCTGCAAATCTGATTATTGTTTAGATTTCATTGAACACCTACACTATGTTTGGTTCAAGGAATTTGATACGAAAAGAAAAGAAATCAGATTTCCTTCATTTCTATCACCAAAGTGGGAGGATTTGATTTTCATTCATCTTAGTACATTTTGACTTCTTATTTTCTTTTTTTCCCCACTTTTCTTTTTTCTTTTTTCTTCTTCTCTAACCAAACAAGAAAAATGTTTTCCTTCTCAGTTTTCTTTTCTTTTTTCTCTCAAATTCCTTGAACCAAACCAGCCCTACAAGCAGTTGAGGAACTTCCGTAGCTTTTTAAGAGATGGAAAACGTTTGATAGTTTAAATGCAAGTGCTTCTTTTGTGGACCTACGGTCCACACAATATTTGTGAATCTTCTCAACAAAAAATCAAAAATATTCTTTTTTATTTTGTATTTTTTT